TGCCCCGGGCTTCCTGGAATCAGCTGCTGATCAGTTTCAGCAGCGGCTGACTTGGGGACGCTTGGGGTTCTTAAGTTGATTCTGTATGTAAGTCAGAACTGGCGGTCAGTTTCAGTAGTGGCTGAATCTGGACGCCAGTTCCGACTTACATACAGATTCAACTTAAGAACAAACCTACAGTCCCTATCTTGTACATAACCCGGGGACTGCCTGTAAGATACACAATTGACGTAGCTCAATTTGCCTCGCTTATTTTGATCCCCAGACCAGGGAGACTGGGAGCAAAGCCACGGAGGACGCCGGCAGCGGGACAGCCGTGGCGCGTCTGGGCCATCCCTCTGCGGCTTTGCTCTGCGTCTCTCTGGTCTGCTGGGGGTCCCCTCCCCCAGCAGACCAGGGAGACGCGGAGCAGCTTTTCTCGCCCTGGAGGATGCGGGTGGCGGGACCGCGGTGCATCTGGGCATCCCGCTGCTCGTGTCCTCCGGGGCGAGAAAAGCCCCGTTCGTAACTGCAGATCCGACATAAGTCGGATCCGCGTAACTCGGGGACTGCCTGTAGTTTAATGCTATACACAGTTCAGATAATGATTATGTCTTTAAAGTAGTAAAATGAAAGCTATTTCAACAAATGTCAGCAATAAGACATGAAATTCAGCTAACACCATCCACCGTAACAGACATTCTCTTGTGTTCTAGATTTAAAGAACATAGAATCATAGTATCAGTGGGGAAATGGTCCCACTATTGTGGGGAACTTTCTTGGCTCTTACACTACCCAGGTGAAATGGACCAGCAAGAGGATCTGAGTCCCCACTCCCAGTTCCTTTACCCAAAGGTCTCCCTGACTCTGAGGGCTCTGCTTCCACTCTGCTGAGTAGCAGAGTGGGCCCAGATTTTCTGGAGCTTAATCCCCAACCTTGTAGTCACTTAGGGCAAGATGTAGCACTGGAATTGAATTTTTTAATTAATAAATCAGTTGTAATAAATTTGTTATAGCAAAAGGTTTGGATTAAACTTAAATCCAAGATGTAGGCCTTACAGGGCCAGGTAGCTTTGTTATCTTAGCTCCAGCTCTGTTTGATGTTATCATGTTAAAGTGAAGGGGTGGAATATTGTAATATATAGTGATGTTAGTGTTAGATAAAGCCTTGTAGTAGATAGAAAGAAGTTTAATGTTGAAAGACTTTGTAACTTTGTAAAAATGACTTAGAAGTACCCCTTTGTTCCATGCTGCAATTCTGTAAATGTATTGTTTGTGTGAATGAGAGAAAGAGAATGTTTTAGGAGAGATAAATGTGAAGGCCACTGCATGTCAAATGGTCAGAGGAGGGGCTGAAAACTCAGAAGTACAAAATAATTATCAGCTAAGTGAAAGAACTCAGAAGACGCAGACTACCCAGGCAGACTGACGAACTCTGAAGCTAGAGGCAAACATCCCTTGATAGGGAACCAATCACAACTTTTGCAGGAAAGACAACACCCCCGAGGAGTCATCAGCATACTGATATCAAATGTCTCTGAGAACTTCTTCCCAATAAACATATGTCATAGGAAGATTGATTGTGATGCTGAATGACTGACTAAGGCCTGATGAAGCAAAATGCATAGACTTGCATGGAAGGAAAGTCCTATAAAGTATGGGGTGTCTTGTATGATTCTTTGGGTTCTGTCCGGCTAATATCAAGACCAGGAGTGGCATCAGTCTGGACTGACATGAACCCGAATCCTACCTTGCACCTGACCTATTTGGGCTGAGCAACAGACTAGTAAGTATTCCATCAGCAAGTTGTGTGTGTGTGTGTGTGTGTGTGTGTGTGTAAAAACATATGCTACTTTGTTATTTTGTCAATAAATGTGGTTTGTTGCCTTATCCCCCTGAATAAGCATAACAAGGGGCTAGGGTGTCCCCACTCTGGGGTTCTCTCTTCACACTAACCCACTGATTATTACATACAATTCAAAGCAAATACAATGTATTAAACAGCAATTGATTAAAAAGAAAAGAATAAGGAAAAAATGAGAAAGATTAAAAGAGAACACATAGTCTCGCTCTGTAGCACGGGGACATTACAAACATACTGTAGAGTATAAGGACAGTTCACAACCTGTTCCTCATAGGTCCCAGGGTTCTTTCTCAGGCCCTGGCTGTGCAGCATGGGGGCTGCAGGTTGGACATGCTTGCTCTAGCAGTGACCACATGACTTCAGGCTCTAGGTGGCAGGACTCTTCTCCCAGTTGGGGTTACAGTCCCTCCCCAAGTTTGGCCTCCAAGCCCTCTTGGCTGGTGGTGTCTCCCTGCCCAGAGCCTCTTCTCCCCGCTTTCCGGTCCCAGCTCTTCATCATACCCAGCTGTAGACTATGCTGCTTTGCCAGCCTCCAGCTCCTTGTGTTGCTTCTCTGACCTCCCCTTTGGCTCTGGTCACTGCAGGTCTGCTTCTCAGCACAGGATCTGCTCTCCCTGATCTATGTGGGTCTCTGGCTCTGTCTCTGCAGGTCTGCTTCTCAGCATAGCTTGGACCCCTTGCTGCTCTTCTTAGCTCTCTCCCCTTTCTCTAAGAGACCCAGAAAATCCAAGGTCCCACTGAGCATGGGACCTAGCCTCCTAATTCCCTCATTGGCCTGTCCGACCTGTCAATCAGGCTGACCTGGAGTGTTGGCCTCTTTCCATTGTCCCTGGGGATTGTGAGTTTCAGGGCCCTGATTTCTCATGGACTTCCTTTTGGTACTGGGAACTAGCCAACCAAAACCCCCCACTGAGTTTTAGTAAGGGGCTAATAATCCCCCTACAATAGAATACTAGTACAAGAAGGGACCTCGAGAGAGGTGATCACATCCAGTCTCCTGCCCTCACGGGACATGAACTTAAGTTTCTGGTATAGCATGACTCAGAATCAAAAAACACAGCATAGCAAATTAGTATTATGAGTTTATTTATGAGATCTTAAAATATAGCAACATAGTCCAACAGCACATTTTAAAGAATATAATTTTCAGTTTCTTATTCTCAAAATAGTACATCAAAAATATATTACTTAATGTACACCAAATTCAGTTTCCATTAAATTTTATTTAGAATAAATTGAATTCCAAACATCATAACCATCTACCTGCTTTATTAACAAATCCATCACTTTTCTGAAAGTATCCTCCCTGAAGTTTAATGTCAGTTATCTAAGTGATCCTCAAATAGCAATTCATTTAAGAAAATGTATTAATATACCTTACTGTACATGAACTGCAATTCAATATAGTTATGGAGGTATATAAAGTATAAAATAGTAATTGCAATGTAATGTTTGGAGAAAATGCTATGACTGAAAAAAGTGTTAAACTCTTCAAAAGATTAAGTGTATGTTTAACAATCTAAGATGCAAATCCAACAGTGAGATAAAATAAATTAGTTTCTGCAAAACACACACACGCACACGCGCACGTGCGCGCACACACACACGCACACACGCACACGCACACACACCTGATTATATTAATCTGCACAGACTGTGCTTTGTGGAATGTGCATTAAATAAACATAGAAATCAGGATTTAAATGAAGAGATTATGTAAGGCATGAGAAATGAGTGTGTTCTATTCATTTTCATTAACACTCAAATCTAGCTATATTTCTACTGAAGCAATTCCAAAACAAAACTATATAAAATAATGGCTGGTTGCTGAGATGGTAAACTAGGAGATTCTGTTCTCCCATATGAACATTGGGATATTCAATTAAATTAAAATGGTAAATTCAAAACTAATAAATGGAAATATAAATTGCAAATAGAACTTAGAACTTACTGCCAGAGAATGTAATTGAGCAAACAACTTAGCAAGACAACAAAACGTAATGGACATTTATATGGTAACAAGAATATCCAGAGTATAATAGTAAATACAATCAAGTTTTGGAAGAGATTAGAGATTAGGAGAAGACCTATAGTATGAAGAGATTATCAGAACAACTGCTGCTGGTCACTGTCAGAGATAGGTTACTGCACAAGTCCAATCACAAGTCTGACCAGGTATGGTAACTCCTATGTTCCTAAATACCTTACTGTGCACAAATTATCAAGACCAGCAAGAAAAGAAAGTTAAGGAAAACAAATTCTGTCCAGATTTTATTCTTTTACACGTTGCACACATATATTCATTATTGCCCATATGGAAAGGGGACTCAGGTGAATGTAGAGATTGGTTTGTTTGTTTTGTTGTTATTAAACACAACAAAAATCTGTTCCAATAGTGTTATAGATAATAGACTGACATAAGCTATTTGAGGAAAGAAGATTGTACTACACATTTTTAGTGTTAACTCAGAAAGCTGCAGGCACAGACTAAAGCCCATCTCCACAGAATTCCTGAAGATTTGAGCCTGTTGCAAAATCCCACAAGCCAAGATGTAATATGTTTCCTCCAGTTAAATGGATTCTGTTAAAGAAAATAGCTAAAACAATCATGTGCAGTCTTTCAGCTTTTACATTCTATGTACTGTTTGCTTACTTAAACACTGTTCAACATTTCAATTTGTCTAATAAAGTGGAACTTCTAAAAGAAAAATTATGTTTAGCCAAGTGTTTTTTCTTCAATTTTTTTAGTACCTTTTCTAAATAAATATCCAAGTATATATTTCATTTGCGCAACATAACCAAATGTATCCAATTTCCTTTAACAATATAAAACAGTCACAGGAGTTCTGGACTTTCTAACTTTAAAAAAAACTATACAAAAAGCCATACTTTAAAATGTTGAAATGGACTGAAAAAGGCCTCTCTGTGATCAATTGAAAACAGCTTTGGAGGTTTTCCAACATAGTAAAATGACCCATAAAATAAACTGTTTTGAAATTTCACCCATACAAAAGAAACTATATACCTGTAAATAAATAAAAGATACTATATACATTTCTGTACATTAAATGAGAGATGACAAGAAATGGAATAAGTTTAGGGATGCTTTTTTACTAGCAAGAATCATATTTTGACTTGATTACAATTTTGAATAAGCACTGGGTTAGAATTTTTTTTTAATTTTTCTTTTTTTATGCTAGTGGCAGCCACATGAACGTACCACCATATTTCTGTATTTTTTCAAAATAACATTAGAACTGTCATCAAAGTAGAGCACTGAGATTGCATTCAGTTTTGTAGGTGCACAGCATGGCTTAGGTACATGATCAGGGAACATCAAATGAACCTGAAAGAGAGAGAGAGAGTGCAAAATTGCTTTTATATCAAAATAGAAAGTATCAGGGCAAATTTATTGAAAACACATCTATTCAATTTGCAGAGTTCTGTACTTTTTTCATTTAGCAAATTTTGTACAAAGCTCACCTCCAGATGCTCTACTGATCTAAATAATACACTTATACAATAATAGCTCATGGAGAAATAAATTAGGAAGCATAGCGAAGAGAGAAAATTGGTTTTCAGATGAGATTTGAAAAAGAAGAAATGGAGATAGGTCCTGGTTTAGGAAAGCATTTGAACATATCAGGACAGAATTTGAGCATATGCTTAAATCCCTGACTTAACTAAATTGTCTTCCTGAATCACAGCCTTATGGGGAGGAAGAAAGGAGTTCAGACAATGTGGAGGCAAATACTCTCACAAAGAATATATGGATTCTATAAAGATTCAAGAACATGGCTCTTTTTCATCATCTCTATATTTCTAAGTTGTCTGTTGCTTTAGTGTCGATTATCCCACTAAGGTCAATGACAGTTTTGACAGAGGAAAAAGAATCAAGCCAAAAGGTAGATGGAAGATGCAGGGAGCGGTATAGAGAAGGTATTCTCTGAGGGTGCGTCTATACAGAACAGTTATTTTGAAATAACGGATATTAATTTGAAATAACAATGCGAGTATCTACACAGCAATTACGTTATTTTGAAATAATTTAAAAAATAACGGACAGCTTATTTTGACTTCTATAAACCTCATTCCATTAGAAATAATGCCTTTTCCAAAACAGCTATTTCGAAATCAGCTGTAGCGTGGACGCTCCATTGCTGCTATTTCAAAATACTCCTCTCTAGGAACATTCAAACTAATTAGTCTCCAGTGCCTCCTAGGGCTCTAAATCAAGGTAGCAGATCCACATTAGGGAAGCTGCCCCAGAATAATTTTGAGGCTTCCCTGTAGCTTATTTCAAAATAAGCTATTTCGGAGTATTTCTTCTGGAACAGCTTATTTTGAAAATAAGTGTGCAGTATAGACATACCTTGAGGTAGGCTGGCATACATCAATGGAATGATAAATAAAGGAAGGCAATTTTGAGCACGTCTCAAAATGAATGGCGATCTAGTGAAAATGCAGACAATTTAAATATGCTCTTTTTATTCTTGAAAGAAGGTTGAGAGTAATAGCTGGAAACTGGGAAGGTAAGAGAGAAGAGAGATGCGACACAGAAGGCAAGAGAGGAATAGATGAAGACTTCCACAGTAATCCATTTTATTTGTACATTAAGTCTTTTTAAATATGTTATAGCCATATTTCTAGCAGTAAAAGCCTTTTCCACGCAGGCTATGTCTACACTGCAAGGTTTTTGCACAAGAAGTCTTTTGCAAAAGAGTTCTTTCACAAAGACTTCTTGTGCAAAAGTGCATCCACACCTCAAAGGTTTGTGCAAGACAGCGTCCACACTGCATGGAAGCTTTGAATTCAGTGATTTTTTAGGGAATGCCAGTCCCTAAAAATGCCAGTCTCTAGAATTTTGGCTCTGACACTAACTACATCTGTGGTCCTAGTCAAGTCACTTAGTCATTCTGCCTTAGCTTCCCCATCTCCAAAATGGAGGTAATAATTAGAGATGGAAACAAAGCCAGCCTCATGATCTGAATACACCTATCCTTTCAATGTGCATCCAAATTTTGCAATCTTTAACAATACTGAAAGTAGTATTAACAATTAATAGGGTTGGGATTTTCAAAAGCATTCAGCATTAGCCTAACTGCTTTCACTGAAGTAAAAAAGAGTTTATCCAGGGATGTTGGTGGGAGCAAAGTTAGCTCTACTCCAACACCTTTTTACTCCAATGGTTACAGCTTAGACCTCTGTAGAAATGAAGATGTGATCAACCAAAGGTTGCTATAAAACAAACAAAAACAGTTAGTTATGTTTGAAGGGGTTCCATAAAATAATCTCATCCCAAAACAAAGAGCTGCTTTTTTAGAATGTGCAATCATGGTGGACAAGAGCTGATTATGTTTGTATTGGGGAGAAAGTATTATTAATTGCTTCCCAAACTCTCCCTGTGTGAAAACCTTAAGTAAATGCAGGTAACTTGTATAATTGAAAACAAAGTGTTTGGCTACTGCTGATCCAGCTAATTTATGTGCATTTAAAATTCACTTAGCTCCACCTTTCCCTCCCTCCTCATACCTTCTGCCTTCACCTACAGTGAGAAACTACCTATCGGAGATTTCGGTAAAATCTCGGTGAATGCATGAACGTTGCTCTGGTATGTTTTATCTTGCATGACACACAATTGCATGAGAGAAGCTGCAATTTAAAGTCTCACTGACCTTGGCAACTTTTCTAGGCAATCTTTGCCATAACAACTAAAGAGAAATAACAGTTTATTTTTGTAAATATGCTTTTCTTCATCATCACATATGCACACTGCCTAGTTCTTGCCAAACAGCACTACTTTCCCTCTCAAAATGAATCTCTTTCCCACAGCTCGTTGCTTACTTCCACCTTTGACTCCCTCCCCTCCTCCTATTCCCTTCCTACTCTCTGTGCAGGATCTTGCTGGCTTGAATGTCGGGATGGAAGGATATAAAGTCATTGGCTCTCTAGCTGGGGACTGCTAGGGGTGAGAGGATTGAATGGTGGGAGGAGAAAAAGCACATTTAGTGCATGTTAAAAATGGATCTTTAAGAAGATATGTGCCTGTTTTGATCATAATCACCCTGCTTGTCCACTGTATTCCTTTCCCCTGTCCTTCATCAATCTTTTAATTATATATACTGTGAAGAGCTTGGCAGTGGATCAGATCCTCAACTGGTGTAAATGAAAAAGGAGAGCTTAACTTTAGACTTCTACATCCATATTTAGGCATATAATAAGTTTACTGAGCTTTTTGAACTGCTGAGCACCCGTAGCTCCCACCAAGCCTTTTCTAGGGGACTGTCCCAGTAAATATAAGTCAGAACATCCCATGGTGCTCCATCTCTTATGCTCAGGGCTGGCCTGACCTCTGGCTGGAACCAGGACTGGGAGAGGTGGATAGGTGGCTGTAAGACTCTTTCCACTTCAGCTACACCAAGTGGAGAATCAAATCCAAATAGTACTAGTTTTATAATCGTAACTGGTTGGCAGACATGACTGCACACAACATGCTTCCTCCTTCCAACTGCATCAGCTCACACATCTTATTTTAAAAGCATTTTTCAGGCCAGTCAACTGACTAAGGCTTTTCTGATAACAGTTGAAACCTGAGAGCCACTGTGCGGCCACAGGTAAAAGTTACCGGAGGTTGTAGTGAGAATATTGACAAGGAAGTTCAAAAGTTGCATAAAACAGTTGGAAGCTGGGAGGGAATCCCTCTTTGCTTCATGTCAGCACAGTGGTGGATTAGCCACTAGGCTGATGGGGCTTGTGCCCAGGGGCCCTGGACAATTGGGGGACCCTGGAAAAATGGGATCATCCAATCCCATTCCTCAGCAG